CCTTGGTACCCAGGGCACCCTCCCATCCATAAACCCTCCTCCCAGTGCCCAGGGCACCCCATCCATCCCCCCTGGCACCCGGTGTACCCCCAGCACCCCAAGGCCCAATCCAACCCCATCTCCCCCCAGGGGGACACCCCTGGTCAGAGGTCCCCAAGGATGGGTTGGCAGCAGCTCCGGGGGGTAAGGGGGAGGGCTGGGACTGAGGCACCCCCTGGGGACACAGCAGGGTGGAATGGGACAGGGCAAGCAAAGCTCCGTAAAACCGTTCCCTGTGCCAGGGCAGGTGGGGTGGGGTGGGATTCCCACTCCGGTGGATCCCAGTTGCAGCACCCACAGCTCGGAGTTTCGGGATAACCCCCGATGCTCCAACACCCCTGCCCACGTGTCCCTGCTGCAAGGAGGCCACACAGCTCCGATGACAACTTTATTCCGATAATATTTGCAAATAACAGACAAAACAGAAAAGGCCTTGGATCGCACGTCGTACCTGCAGCCCCTGTGGGCTCCGGCGCTGCCGGAACCGCCGCGGCCTGGCACACCCCCATGGGATTCCTTCCCACGACAGCATCAGAGAGTTTTTTTATATATAACATTTAAAAAAATTAACAGCAACTTGTAGATGGAATTTCCAAGGAATATGTACACAAGCAAGTGCTTCAAGGCTGGGAAGGAAAACCTCCTGCGGCTGCGGTGCGTGGAATTCCTGATGTCTGTAGCTTGGAATCAAATCCACGGGTCCAAACTGCCCCAAAAAAGACACTTTTAGGAGCTTTAGAGCCCCTCAAACGCTGCTGCTTCGCCCCCAACCCAGTGGGGACAGGGCGGAGGGCGCCTGGCCAGGAGCAGCTGGAATTCTGCGGCTAAAACATTGCAAACAAACACCTGTGTGGTTTGGGGGATGGGCCTGCGCCCCCATCCTTTATTTGTACCCCAAATACCTGCACACCTTGAGAAACTAAAACTGATGTGAGCTCTGCAGCATGTTTGGCCACAGAAACAAGGGGAAAGGCTGGAAAGGAAGAGGAAATGTGGAATTTTATTAGAGAGCCCTCAGCAGTGCCCAGTGTGGATCAGGCTGGTAAGTGGGATGGTGTATCCTGCCATATATTCAAGGGGAGAAACGTCGGCTGGGAGATGTAAAAAAATAATAATGATTAGTGCATTGCTGAAAAATGAGGAGAGGGGAAAAAACCCTCTTCCCATGGGAAACACAGCACCCACCCACCCCCTCCCCAGCTCTGGGAGTGCTCTCAGCAGCCTGGACTGGAGGAAACTGTTCTCCAAAGTCATTTGAATAGCCCAAATTTCTAAAAAAAACCCCCAGTTCCCAGAGCCCAGGTGAACACTGGATCACCCAAGGTGTGGAAGTGATGGAGGGATGTGGAGAGGGGGCAGCTCCCGGCCCAATGAGGCTCGGGAGGCAGATCCCAGCTCCCAGCCTGGGTTAAATAAATGCAGTTTTTGATGCGTAAAAGCGTTAGACGTTCCTCACAAAGTCACAGTTCCTGTACTTCCATGCTGGACTGAAAGAGTAAGAATGGCTCAAAGATGGGAAAAGAGTTCCTGGAGAAGAGAGCAAGATAGTTTGGATGTACTGGATCACCACCCCTCTGCAGCCAGGCTGAGGGGCACACAGGGACACCCCCTCATCACCCCAAACACACCAAAAGCTGCTCAACTTCCCAACCTTCCTGTTGTTTATTAAATAAACCTGGGAACGTTCTCCTGCAGCAGGATGTCCTTCAGTGCAATCTGCTTTGACATAAGGCATTTGTTTTGTTTTGGGGGAGCAGAGGCTCCCCGTGGGTCTCTGCCGTCCCAGAGTCCCATATCCACCTTGGCTTGTTCTTTAATGCCCTCCCAGGTCACAAATCCTCTTCCCTTCTGGTTGCTCCTCTTGGAAAACCATCAGTGGCCAAGTAAACCAGTCCCTGGGAGATAAACCACCACCAAGAGATGAGGAGGGAGATGGGATGGGTGTGGAATCATGGGGGGGATGTGAAGGAGGGTAACCCCCCCCAGACTCACCTTTAAATCCTTCTTCAGGCATACAAACTGGGAGGGAAAGGGAAAGGAAAAGCGTTAGGAGTCGTTCTGAGGCTGAATATCTCACAGCAGCGACAAGGAAGTATCACAATCTCCATTTTGCACCTTCCCAACCCAAACCCAGCCAGCAGTGCTCCTCCCCAACCCCTCCAGCCCTCCCCTCTCACCGTGCATAACATCGTCCATCGCCGCGTAATCTGCAATGGGCTCATCCGCCTGGAAAACAACGTGGAGCAGGGAATTGAGGAGCAAATGAACTTCCAAACAACCTCCTTCGGAAGCTCATGGACCCACGGCCTCATGTTCCTGCTCAGGAGGGGAGCAGGAACACTGGGGGACGGAGAGGAGGACTCTCCCTAATTCAGGTGTGTTTTGGGCTGGTACCTGCACAGCTCAGCAGCAAAAGCAGCTCAGAGAGGCTCGAGGAAATCAAAAAATGAGGATTTTCCTCACCCAAAACAAAAACATTAAGGATTTTCTTCCTCCAAAGCAAAAAGAAAAAAGATTTTCCTCATCCAAAAAATCCCAATAAGGACATTCCTCCTCCAAAACAAAACCAAAAGGATTTTTCTCACCCAAAACAACAAAAAAATAAGGATTTGCTCCTCAAACCGAGGATTTTCCTCCTTCAAAACAAAACAAATGAGAAGTTTTCTGGTCCAAAACAAAAACAAAATTATGGATTTTCTTCCTCCAAACTAAAAAAAACCTAAGGATTTTCTTCCCTCAAGAGAGAGCTCCAAGAGGAACTCATTACATTTCTCACCATTTTCACACACACCACAACACGCTGTGCTTTGATTGCACCGAAATCTGCTCCATTTTGGGCTGATTGCATGCGAGAGGAGAAGCCACCGGGGTGTTACCTTGAGGAGGATGACGGACTCGGGGATGACTCCCAGGCTGCCCAGGGTGGCTGTGTCATCACTCAGGATCCTCCCATCGATGGACAAGTTCTGGTCGAAGGGAGCAACTGAAAATGCATGCATGATCTGTGCGACACAAGGGGACACACTCACTGTGCTGCAGGGACAGAGCATCCCCAACCCTCCCCCGCTCAACCCCAATGCACCTCCCGACCCTGCGGGGGGTTCCAACCCCTCTCCTTCCATCCCACACTCCTGATTTCATAGATGACAGAATGTTAAGGGGTTGGAATGGACCTTAAAGACCACAGAATCAATCAGGTTGGAAAAGACCTCAGGAATCATTAAGTCCAACCTATGACCTAAACACTACCACGTCAACTAGATCGTGGCACAAAGTGCCACATCCAGTCTCTCCCTAAACACATCCAGGGCTGGTGACTCCA